TGAATGCGGATAGGTTAAAACAGTTAAGAGCAAAAAGTAAAATAGATTACTATTCAGTTACTATTGTACGAGTGTGCCCAAAGTTGCTAACCCAATTTCAAAGTTTCAGCAAAACCAAACAGCAAATTAGGCAAGACTTGACAAAAATTGCTTCAAAGTTTGCTTATTTTATATATAAAAAATTTGTTGCCTCCACGGTGAGCAATCGTTTCGACTAAGAGGTGTTCATAACAAAAAATATTTCTTGTTGCAAATTAAAGGATACAATTATTACTGCAATACTCGGAAGGTAGAAGATTTTTCAAGTTGATAGCAATGACTAAAACATAGTCATCAGACTGTTGCAATCAACAGGAGTAAACTGAAAAAATTCGCTCAATTTTGATATTAGAAGTCAGTCACGTGTTTTGTGACATCACATAGTACGAGTTTACTTTCTTGTTCTCAAAGGAAATGAACTGAATTTAAAACAAAGAAGGAAAGCTGTGCTTTGGACAGTTGCGTTACAACACAAAAAAAACTAGATCTGTCTAAATGTATCAGGCGACTTTTGAAACAAAACATGCCAAGACTATAGAATGTAAAATAAGCATTGGAAGAGAGAAAATTTACCTAGCGTTAACACAGCCGAGAATATCAGCAGAAATACACAGCAGAAAAACTTAAGGCCAAAAAAAGCATCAACCCGCATTTTTTTGGTTTGTCAAAATACGCAATATCAGGCCATTAAACCGATATAACATAGGCCGATATCAATTAAGCCGTAAAAAGGAAATAAAAACAAAATAAAAAAAGACCGACAAAAATTGTTGTCATGAAAAATCAGTTTTAGTTTATCTTGAGATTCCAGCGATAAGTGCGATCCAGAGGTGAGCATAAAAACAACAATTCACGTTAAACGAATCAAAATTGGGTCACTAAGCCGATAAAATACATCGCGAAACGTTTTGGGCAGGCAAAAGTTTTAAACAAAAAAAAACGAAGCCAAAAAATTACAGAACATTAGCAGACAAATATTAAGCCGACGTTTTTTTGAAACAGAATAGCTCCCGTTTAAGAAAACAGGTTCTGTCAGATTGGAACCTAGGACTTTTGCCGTCCCAGGTGTATTCGTTACCTCCGGGTAAAAAAAATTGATTGTATAATGAAGTTAACCAAAATGTACCATTTCTAACTCCGATCTTTCAGTGAACAAAGTTATTTACGGCAAAAAAAGTCCAGTACTCAATTGCACAAACTTTGCTTTTTGTAAGGGTAATATAAAAATCAAAGATACTTTCGTTCACAATCAAAGTGGTTTTCAGCAGAATAAAGGTAAAAAAAATTGAGTAAATAAGGTCGAAAAAAAACATTAGCTGACAACTGAAAGGACGATAAATTTTTTGATACTAAATAACTTCGGTTTTCAAAACAATATATGCTGACCGCATTCGAGCCTATGCTTTGAGCCGTCAAACGTTTTTTCCTAATAGATAAAACTTGTAGATTTATTTGTGTTTTTTTCTTGTAAACTGGAAAACTACACACACGCGCCTTATTCAGAGACTTTCTAGATCGGAAAACGAGTTTCTAGATTGGAAACTTCAAATCTAATTTTTGTTGAGAGATTTTTTGAAATGATCCGTCATTTTTTACCTAAAAGAAAGTGTTTTAGTATGTGAAATGATGTTTGAAATTTGCATATGCATACCTGCAAAAAATTTTTCCTTTGAGCTTGGTGAAAAAAGCGTCAACCTTAAAATGATTCTTATTTTTTCTTTATGTATCATATTTTCTCACACAAGTAGGTTAGGTTGTTTGTTTTTGCTCACAAGTAGGTTAGATTGTTTGTAATTGCTCAAGCCACGCCATATACGCTTTATAATCCAGAATTGGTTTGTCGAATCTATAAAAAACGTTGATTGTTTAGGATAGTTTCACCTATATATTCTCCTTTTCTATAGGAAAAATTACCCGAATAAGTTTGCAAAATTTACAAATTTTTTTTTCAAAAATCTGGCAAGGATAAGTTAAAACACAGAGGCGAAACAGAACTTCGCACCATTTGCGATACAACCCATTCCTAAAAAAACAAGTCGATGAAAAAGTTGAAAATTAACTGAGAGAACCCAATTTTTTGTATATTTCGATGAAATACATCTAGAGCCCAGCTAAAGCTGGAGGAATGTGTTGTTAAAGCAAAGAACATTAGAAAATCGAGTTTCTCGAATGAACTCTTAACCTGAGATTTGGCTCGTAATTTTCGAGTAAAATCGTCCAAAAACTGTCCAAAGAATGGTCAAAGTTTGAAAACTTTCACTTGTTTGAAGGCCATAACTTTTTTCTAGTAGAAACTGGGCGTAGCAAATTATAAAACTGAACAACATTTGTGTCGATTAAACGAATGATATCAGATTTGTCAGGATACTTATCCGGAAAAGTCGAAAAAACGGTCAACAAATCAGATAGTTGACATTTCCGAGAATCACAGCTTTTTGTTTTAAAAACAATTGGACTTGGCCCTTATGCAGAAGACAATCACTCATCTCTCGATTTCGACTGAACCCAAAAACTTAGGTTTCAAAAGGTCGTTGGCGAGAAAAATCAAAAAGTTTCAAAAAAAGGTCAAAAAATCGAAACTCTAACTTTCCCGAGAGAAGTGTTTTTTGTTTTACAAAATTTGGGCTCAGTCTGAAACGCAATGGAGCATCCTACAAAGAGCACCTTGATTGAACCCAAAATCTCGGATATGGGAGGTTTTATTGGTAAATTTCATAAAATTTAGAAAAAAAAGCGCTCGAAAAATTAAAAAACCGATTTTTCTGAGGACGTGAATTTTGTGTGTAAAAAATTTTGACAGGCCGCTTTTTCAATGGAATTTTTATTCATTATTTATCTCCATTGAAACCACATCCTCCTGTTTGAGAAGTTAGTTTTTGAGAAACTTCAAAAAGCAAAAGAAAACCCAAACTTTCTTTATTCCGAGGACCATAATTTTGTGTGTATAATAACTTTGGGCGTAGCACTTTCGGAGGGCAGCTTTTCAAAGCCGCACTGTTCCTTGAAACAAAATTCTCAGATTTGGTACGTTAGTTTTCGAGAAAACGAAAAAACTATACATATCGGTCAATTAATTCCTCACAGACATTCTAGAAGGCTGTAGACAAAGGGTTAAAGCAAAAAGAGACCAGGGGAGTATGGCGGCACACAGACTTGTTAACGGGCCGCCATAATTAAAGCCCGGTCCGATATAATTCAAGTCGAGCCCGTTGGCGGCCCGATAAACAGGGAATTTATTAAATATCGGCCCGTTGTGGCCCGTTGCTGCTTTTTTGGTAAAAAAACAAATTTGTTTCAAAACAATTTTAATTAATTGTTTTACTTATTTATAAAGACCTTTTTTAAAAGCCATGGAAACCATTTCGATTGCCTCAACGGTTGTAGGCGAAAGTTTTGCCCGTCTTTCGGATACCTTCAGACCGCAATCAGAGTAAAGCATCTCCGACTGCCCGGAACTGGCCAGCGTTCCAAGCGTTCCGGAACTGACCTGCGTTAGTCAATAAAAGTAAGGCCCGTTGACAAAAGTGAAAACCTCGGCCCGGCCCGTTGACAAGTATGGCGGCACACAAGGATGTAGACAGCCTTTCTTTGGATACCCCTCTTCTGAAAATCGGAGAACTTTTTTGCGAACTTTTCCTAAGCGTCTCAAAAAAATAAATAAAAAGCCCAATCCACACATTTTCATTAAAGCAAACTTAATCAAAAAGGATTTCTAGACAAAAATGCTAAGCAAGAGAATTTAAATTCATATTAGCAACTGCAATAAACTACGAAGCGGAAAAAGGCCGACAACCTTTGAGCAGACTTCAATTAAGCGGGAAAATAAACAATTTTGTAAAAAAAAACATTAAGAAGTTCCGAGTCCCCTTGAAACTACCCTGTAGTAATTATTACCCACCCAGTAGTTGAATTTGAATTTTCATGTTATTGAGCATGTCAGCTGCATTTGGATTTTAATGAAACTGAGCATGTCGGCTGCAATTGACAAGTGATTCAACTGATTTTGTTAAACTAGTTGTTAACCCGAAATTAAAGTCTACATTCCGATTTGATAACGCTTGCTAATCGCAAACTTTATTATTACGGAAAGAGAATTGGTTGCAGAAAACATCCTGGAGACCGCAGAATTCAATCTGTGATCTACTGATAACAGCTACTCGCCTTAAACACATAGACATTGCGTCTTGGATAACCGAACTTCACGCAAAATAATTCTTATAAACCAGGCCTGTAAAATAGTTCAAAAAAACAAACGTAGTTATTTCATGCACTTGTATGAGCGCAATAATTTTGCACTGTGTTCTACTTTAGCTGAAGAAAGACTTATTTCAAAAAACACTCGCCTTAACAAAGCTGGCTGAAGTACAATTAGTTAAAACTTTTGACTTCAATCGAAATTACCAAGTTGTTTTGCAATGCATTAAGTTTTTCGCATAAAAAATCATTATATCAAAAATTTGAACCTAAATTGTCCTCATAACTTAATTCCACTAAACAGAGTTTGTTCCTAAAAATCATTCGCGAAGCTCCTATCTTCAGGAATGTCAGTGGTCTCAATATGGTCCTAAATCATAGCCAACAGAAACGTGGCTATGAGCCCATGAAAACCTTGAGAAATATATCAATCTCTTCGAGTTTCTGAAATAAATCCGAAAAACTTGGGTCGAAAGGTTTTTTATATCGCTTAAATATCTAAAAATTGAAATCCACTTTCGAAACCTGAAATCTTTCATATTTTAAGCACTATTCGAACTTTCGTTACTTGAGAGCTCAATTTACCTTTAATGTAGCAAATGAATTAGAATTCAACTTAGTGGAAATCAAAAATTAAACCTTAAAAAACCAAATGAAGTTTTTTTTCCTTTTTCACTTCTTTCTTTGCCACAACTTTATACGACACTAGGATTGAACGGCAGGTCTACAAAACTGATCAAACTCATTTCACGCCTCTCAAAACTCAATGATATAAACATGTCAATTGCCTCTACTGATAGCATTTGAATGCAAAGTATGAATAAAACTCTGAAAATAGAAAATTCAATCTGTTCAAAATGAGCATCTGCTTTAAAATCGGTCATAAAGTTCAAAAGAATCATTAAATTTAGTCTATTTTATTGGATTCCACAACAGCGAGAAGTTGGAACTGCGCTACTGTCGTTATACTGATAACTTCCATCCCCCGCCGCCATCGACTGTTTTTCCATCTTTTTCTGCTGCTGACAACTCTTCGCTGTTTTGTCATTAACGCTTCGGACAGCATCAACACTGCACGGTTGATCTGATATCGGTTTCCGCGTTGTGTTTTCCGTTTTTGGCTTAGACCCAGTTAAATTAGACTCACTGTTCGATATTTTCGGCTGGGGTGAGTTTTCTGAGCATTCAGCCGCTAAAAGACTTTGGCTTTCGGAGCATTTACCTTCTATTTTTTCGTCCGATGTCGCTGAAATTGTGGTATCTACAGATCCTTTCATGCATGACGTAAAAAACGCTCGTCTCGACTTTCTAGTTTTTCTTCTTCGCTTACGATTTTCTAATGAAGATTCCACTTTCGATTTACTTTTCGAGACTTCCGCTCCTTTGACGTTTAGTTTATTATACTCGCATTTCACATTTGGTCGTCCTTCCAACGATTCGCGAGTGCCAGCGCTACCAGAGGATCCACTTTCCAGTCCGGCTTTGTAGGGACTCGAACTCGCAGCCTTTGATGGCTGGTATGCAATTGGAGACCCGCTGGACATGGGCTCTTCCTCTACTAAGTTGATCAAATTGGCCGCCAGTGTTACCGTGTGCTTCCCGCTGAGCAGTCTGGTCGATGAGTCATACTCATTTCCTTCTGCCAATTTATTACATGCATACGAAGACGTCTTCCTCGAGCTAACACTGTCTGAGTCACTAGGGGTATTATTTGTGGGGTCAATTGGGTATTTGCTGCTTAGAGTGGAAACAATTGAGCTCACACTGAGATTTGATCTTTTCAAGCTTTCGTTTAATGACTTTTTCTTCCGTCTTTGACGTCTGTTATTTGGGGTTGAGTTGCTTGATCCTGAGAGGTCATTTCGCTCCATACCTGAAACATAGCGAACAGAACGTTGAAAAAGTGCAAAATAACAAGGAAACCGAAAAAAAATTGAACAAAAAACAATCACAAGGACCTAAATAATTGAAAATCATACCGCTCTTTTACACTAAATACCTTTCTCTGAAAAATTACAATATATTATCATCGAGTTTTCTCAACTTTTCGAGAATATGACTATAACCAAGGATCAAATAAAGGTTCGTCAAAAAACCTCACGTATCGGGGAAAACCACGCATTGCATGTATAAAATTAGTTGAATTAGAAAACGTTTTTTCAACCAACAGAACACTTGGGAATAGCCAAAAAAGCATTTGAAAAAGCGTCAATGAACTAAAAAAAACGTATTAAGTCTTATGGTTGACATTTTTTGGTAGTACTAATCCAATTAAAGAAAACAATTAATATGTTATTGCATATTGGATGTGATTAGGCCGGTAATCGTGATAATTGGAAAAAATGTTTCTGAAAATTAGTACCTGCTAGAAGTGAGCTCTGGTGATGGTATGCGTGGTTGTTTTGGGCTCTGAAGCGAGAGGGTCTTTCCACCGATGAGTCATCAGAGCACTGGTTGAAGCTGTGTCGCTGTTGATGATGGTGATGGGCGAGAGAATAGCCGAGTGATCTATCGCTCTCGCTAAACCGGCTGATGTTCCGAAGCCTGTTGTCGGCGTCTTCTCCTCCCGATTCGTCCGAGCTAACATAACAAGCAGTCGAACGTTTTTCACTCATTCAAATAATGTTTACAAAATTCATCAAAAAATCATCACTTAAACCCGGAGTCCTCAATAAACAAATGCAGGTCTCTTATTGAACTCAAACCGCAAAAATAGAAGCAGGTTGCTGAGCAAGTAGCAAGTGATGTTCGACTGCACCTATTATTAGGCAAAAAAGGAAAAAATGATTTCTGAAAAAAAAACGTTCGGGAAACGGGAGAGTTCTTGGGAAATCGAGCTCCATATAGTTTGGAAAAATAAAAAAAAGTACTGGAAATCGCTCCGAGTTGGGATTATTCGTTTAAAAGTCCAAATCGCAAAAAAATTTAGCAAAAAAAGAACTTAAGTTATGGTCCTTCCCAGTCCGTGAGTGGTCGTCGGAACACCAAAAAATATCATTTATTGAGAACGAAGAACAAAACATTCCTGTCGCAATTATCGCAAAAAAACTAGCTTCTTATACTTTGAGTAGTATAGGTCACGGTCAGAAAATTCAGTTGACCGAATTGCGTAAAAATTGACTTTGTTGCGTATTCAAATAAGTAAAACAATTATCTTTCTTTCGCAAATACACCAACTTTTCAACTGCTAGTCTAAATGGAAACATATACATTATTTCTATTTTGAACTAATTTTCTTCTGCTTAGAAGTTAAATTTTTCACGATTCTTTTTTCAATTTTTCTGTTATTTTCATTTCTTTATCAACATTCTAGATATGATGCTCTAAATGTAACAAAGAATAAACTCTCTTGCATTCTGATTAACACGTACAACCAATGGAAATAAGTCCTGTTTTAGGAGTAAAAGATTCTAATGACTGGCAACTGGCTCTGGCTAAATAGCATTCGTAGCCAAAAGATACCAATAAAAAGCAAAAATTTAAAAACAGCTCGATACCGGCTTTAAAAATTTAAGAAATCAAAACTCGGCTGAAAAACACGCTACCTGAAGTTTTTTGATATTATCTTGCATTATACTTACAAAAATGTGGGCACCTAACAGTATAACAGAACTATTCCATAAAAAAACCTCAAGAAATACATTCTTGCGTGCTGTTTGAAATGCAAAACTTATAAGGAATCAATTATCAAAACTAATGAGGAGAATTCAAGAGTCTAATGAGGAGATTCTACGGTAGGTAACTTAAGGGGGGGGGGGGCGAACGGTTGATCCTTTCTTTTTTTTTGCGGTAGACAATTGTCTGAATTTCCACTTCTGAATATACAAGAAAAAATAAGACCGATAACGCAACTGGGAAAAAACTGAATGAGTAAAACTTTGAGTCTACAAAATTTCGTAAGTTACGCACACCAATTATGACACATTAGCAGTACCAGTCAATTTGAAAAAAAAAACAACTAACATGCCTCAATTTACAGAGCGGACGCGTTTTAACTAGTATACGAAAAAGTTCATTAAAAACATCCCCCCTGCCGAGGTTCGAACCCTCTTATTTTGTTGCGGGTCTCCTTCCCTACCTCTATATGCTACAGATCCATGATACCTTGAAGCTAAAGTGCTAAATGTGATATATCAGTCTGTGTTAATACCTTTAGCATTAACTGTACTAAATAACTGGTTATTGATCAAAATGAACACATTTGGTGCAACAATAATTGCGTCGCAACAATATTCGTGACTTAGGTTGGAAAAAAAGAGTTCATACTATAACACAAGCTTTGATTGTGTAAATATTTCATAGTTCAAAAAATTAAACCTGTTATAACGCTCATAAAGAAAATATAACCAACAGACAGTTGGAAAAAATTCATTTAACTAGAAAAAAATAGAAAAAACACAGTGCAATAGAAAAAAAGATTGGCTTTTTTATGATTGACAATTTTTCAAAACAAAAATTAACCCACTTAGAGGATGCTAAGTCAACCAAATTTGAAGTCCATTTTTGAAACTTAAAAAACTTTACAATTTTGTCATTGGACGGCGGAAATTGCCTTCCTTTTAAGCCCTTTAAGCGCGAACAAAATTCAACATTTTTTTTCGAAAAAAAAGACCCAAACTTTGTTAATTAACCATGTGATGTATCAATTAACACATTTATTTGAAATTGTCGCCAAAAGCTTGAATTATCAACTTCCTCTGATGTTATTTTAAAACTAACCGACAATCAACTTGCTGCGAATTTAGATTCTCCAGTGCTTTAATAAACACAAAAGCGAAGCTGCGCTTGGCAAACACTAGCGAAAACACGACAAAAAGCAGCTCTAGAGTACTAAAAGATGCAATAGAAAAAGTAAAAAAAAATAAGCCTCCAATTAGTAAAAATTCTGCGACGTCTCAGAAAATATGAGTCTCTCGCACTAACCTCTCTGCCTCGGACACTTAGCCCTTCACAAACAGTCGCCACAAACAAAGCCGAGAACGGGTGGTATGAAATTTCCTATGCTACAGATCGAGATTATAACTAAAGGCACAGAAGTGAACACTTTTATTTGCGAGTTAGGTTAGAAAAAAGAAGGTCCCTACTATAACACTAGCTGCTCGCTAGCGTAATCAAACTCTACTACTCTATTGACCAGCTTCTTTTTTCGGTTTTTTTACCTCTCGCCACTTGGCAAATTTTTCAAGTTTTTGCACGCTCTTCTGCCTAAATCCGTAATATTGTGTGGAACAAAACTTAATCACCATGCAAAAATTCAGTGCATTATAAAAAAAGCCCTGTTTTTTTTTATTAAAGAGCCCGGTTTTCAACTTACTTGTAGTGACTCCTGGTTGGAGTGCTTCTGCGACTCAGAGTGAACGTAGTTTTCAGACCCCCTCCGTTTCCTTCATTCTCTCCAGACCTTGAGCCCACTCCCGCACCCAGAGTACCTCCACTGTTCGCATTTCTCCGCAGACACTCCGGGCTGTGTCCGGCAGACAGTCTTCTCTGTTGGTTCTGCTTCCTCGAAAACAGGGTTCCTAAACTGTTGTTTCGTGCTTTGAACCGGCTGCTATTGTGTCCCCTAGACGTTCTCGCCCCGCCTAAAAAAGGTCCGGTACCTCCGTCCTCGAAATCATCCAGTTCTGACTCGCCCTCCTCCTCCACTAGTTTTCCGAGTCCCCCCGCGTGGGGTTCCGACAGCCGAGAGCTCTGAAGGGCTCCACGAGAAGATGAGTTTGAGGATATTTTTGGCTTCGAGGCTGAGTCAGTTGTAGCCGACGGAACCAAAAGCAGATTTGGAATGTCTGAAACATAATTTTATCTGATTTTAGATCAACCAATCCGAAAAAATAACATCCAAAAACTTGAAACCCAGTCACGATGAGTGACAAGCCAATCGAACATATTTAACAGAGTGAACAGATTTAACATTTTTCTCCCGAAAAAAATATAAAAAAACACACGCGAAAGAGAAAAATCACTTAGTTCATTTTCACTTAGAAACTGCGGATTGCAGGCTGTCTTTCAAAAAAATTTTTTAGATGTCATTTTAAAACAAAGCTAATGAAACTGCGGATTTCGGACTGCTTTTTTCGAAAAAAAAATTAAGATGTTATTTTAAAACAAAGCTAATGAAACTGCGGATTCTCTTAGAAACTGCGTATCGCAGGCTGCGTTTTTATTTTCAAAAAAAATTTAAGATGTTATTTCAAAACAAAGCTGATGAAACAGGGATTCACTTAGAAACTGCATATCGCAGGCAGTTTTTTTTTCGAAAAAAAAATTAAGATGTAATTTTAAAACAAAGCTAATGTTATTTTAAAACAAAGCACTATCAAGCTGCTCTATGGGCAGCAGTGCTGTCAACGAACCATTTTCACAAACTGATAAATTGAGTCTCTGTTCCTGTTCCTGTTCCACTAGTTTGTTCACATCCTCCTTCAGAATGTTCCGATTGTAAGAGGGCGCAATCGTTAGGTGTTCTCTGTTGGGCACACGCGTGACAGATGTCGCCGTGCTAACTGAAGACCCGCCGTGCGAAGTGTGCGTTGCTAGGGACTCATACGAACTCACCCCACCGAACCGCGACACGAGCGGTGGCGGAGAAGGTGAGGCCGAATCGCGTCCGACTACCATGAAGTTGCTACCCTGATGGATTATTGCAGTGGAGATTCCAGGCCCGGCCGACCAGGAACGCTGTGTTTTAGGCTTGTCAGTCATTTCTAAACAAGCAAATTCGAGCATAACTTAACAAAAAACCAAAAATGGCTTACACAGGCGAAGCTGCACTTCGCAAACACAAGCAAAACAACTGCGAAAAAGGTCCTTAAAATAGAAAAAAAAACGAAATTAAGTAAATAAGGTTCAAAAAAATAAAGAGCCGAACATGGAACTCGAACCAGGAACTACCGGATTATCAAGCATTGTCTTCCGTAAATACCAGGCGCTTGATTAGAGCGGATAAATACGTACTACTGAGCCCCTCATCGATGAAAATAAGCACAAAAATTGATCACAAATTAAGGAGTCAGTTTGGAAAAAATGAAGTACAATTACAACACAGGCGTTTGCTTGAGTAAAAAAACATAACAAAACAACTGATAAGCTATATAAGCAGTAACAGGGCAATGCATAAACAATAATGTACAATGTTTTTCGCGATACAACTTTCAGCCATTTCCAACTATGGAAACAAACTTCAATAAACTTGAAAAATGAATCCATTTTTTTTTCTCATTTTTTTCGGAGGTAATTGTTTTCCCTTAAAACTGCGAACCGAAGTTTGGAGCCCTTAGGTACAACAAATAAACATGGCGTCTACCGCATGCACCTCATCTAACCTTTTGAGATCGACGCGAAGCTGAGCTTTGGATCAGTTGCGATACAACGCAAGCATAGCATTGCAAGCTAGCGAACAGAGACGAAAATACCAGAGTCGAAAAAAATTGTTAGAAAACAAAAATCAATTTCAGAAAAAAGCCAGTAACACAAATATCAATATTCAATACGAATTTACTAATTATCGCGCGGCCAATAAGCCGAAAATCAGTGGGTAGACGACCATTTATTGAGCCGAGAACAGCAAAAAAGCCATAAAATGTCGTCATAAAAACTTAAAGCGATTAAGTTTGAAAGTTTTGCACCACAACCGACCTGAAGTAATCTTCAAAGGACATAAGATAATTCGACTGAACCGATACATCGTTAGCCGAAACCATTAGGGCTGAAGGAAACTTTTAAGTGAAAAACATGCAAAAACCAGGCATAGCAAGTTTTACCAATACTTGCAATAACTGCGAAAATTGCTTATAGCATAAGAAAAATTAATGTGTCAACAAAGCCAAAAAATATATAAGCCGACAAGCAAAAAGGTCGACAATGCAAATTTACCCGGAAACACTCATATATATATATTGTAAAAAAACAAGGTCCCATCGAGACTCAACCCCAAATCTTAGGATGCCAAGGCAACTGAATTACCTCCAGCTCCAGTGGGGAGGAGAGTGGAATTTAAAAAAGTTATAATAGAGCAGCTCCAATTTCTTACAAATTTGTAAAAGTTGTTTAAGGGAAAAAATTCTAATTCTCCATCAAAGACTTTTTCAAATTTCGGAGATCAAAATATATCAGGCTAAAGCTCTTTGAATTTGAAGAACATATCATGACTGATAATTTTTTGATAAAACTTACTAACTTAGAGAAAACTGGGCCAATAGAATTTTTTTTCCACAGGCCAATCTTTAACTTAAAGTCTATACTTAAAACTAAATATCTGTCGATTTCTTTTGCACTTTTATTGGACAACGAAAACTGCCTCCTTTTTCGCAAATAAATTTGATTTCACCTCACTAAGACATTATACTTCAAACCGCGTAATATCGTACTTGAGCTTGAACAGATTTCAGGCTTTTTCTCGAAAAATACCACAAGACCTTAATAAATGAGACATCACTTTGTTTACTAGAATTGATGCACACACATTTTTTTTTGAAATTGGCACCAAAAGCGACGCGAATAATACAAGACAAAGATTAATTCGTTCATGAACACTTAAAATACATCCACAAACCATTGCAATGTCGTTACACCGCTTTTTACAGCTTATGATAGTGGCCAGTCTAAGAGAAGAATGTCCCATAAACAGAAATGCATTAATATGTATGAAAACACTTCGGTAAATTATTACAGCATTTTTGAACTTTTCCCGAAAAAAATGACGACCTATTTCAGAGTAAAAAACGATCTTTATTCAATATGTTCTTATGCCATATTTGAAAGCTAGATAAATAATTGAAACACTAGTGCAAAATTTGAAAAAGTAGTGCAAAATTTGCAACACTAGTACATTATCTTTTTTAGAACAATCAACCAAAACGAATAAGAAAGATAAAATCGCTTGTTAGCGTGAAAACTTTTTTAAATGTGTGTTCTGTTCATTTTTTTTCACGTGTTTCATACCTTATAATCAAAAACTTACATTCATTGCATCTCGGAATTTGTTCACTTCTAGACAGTGTGTCTCGAATTTTTCACTAAGTTTCTCGATGCAATATATAGCTATTGCTTATCTACTACCTGAACTACGTTCATTGACTCTTAAACAAAGTTTATCAGGTTTTTTCGCGCCATTTGAACGTGTTTACTTGTTCTTGGAGAACTCAACTTGCTTTTTTTCAAAATATGAATTGAATTTTAAAAAAATCAGAAGTAAAAAGAAAAATCGAATTGCGACCTAAATAAATTTTCCTGAAAAAAAACACGACTTATATAAGTGATAACTCACTTCGTTTTAAAGACGTAAACATCGAAAAAACTCCCCATTTACAGCAGAGAGTGCTATCTGCTCAGAAAGACCAGCACCAATTTACCCATGAAATTCAGTCAACAGATTGAAATTCAGTTGCAGAAACCTCAACCCCTAATTCAGCCATGAACTCAACCATAAATTCAATGTGCCAAAGTTTCATTTAACCTATGAAATTGAGACTATTACGTATCAACGACCATCTCCGTTCCACTGTAAACTTCCATTTTCATTTCAGTTGTCTTTCTCGTTTCAAAACCGCCTTCTTTTAACGTTCGATTTGACGTCACAGACAGTTAACTGATTCGACAATTTTACAAACATCCATATTGTGCCACTAAGCTGACTGAGGGCAAACTTCTTTGCACTAGCACGTAATTGAACTGTTACAGTGATCAATGAATTCTGACAAGCGTGCTCTGTGATATCAAATTTAAGCCTTTCAACAAGACGAAAAATCCCGTGACTCTTCATGATTTCATCAATGCCAACAAAGTTCAACTTCAAGTTCAGGTTTCAATTCAAGAGTAGAGGATGTTTGTCATTGTCGTCAAATGTCAATTGAGGATTGTTTACACAGAGTGAGATACACGTTTACTACTACTACTACCCAGAGGTACTGCACGAGCAACAGGCCGAACAGGGCTTCGCTCCCCCCGCCCCGGTCGAGGGGAAAACAGCGGCCCTTTGGGTGAGGGCTTGCAGGATTAGTTTCTGCTCACCTTTGCCTGCATTACGAGAGCAACTTTTCTTCACCTCCTTTAGATCAGGGGAGTTTAATACTGCATGAAAACAGCGAAAAAGCGTCAAGTCACTTAATTTTATGACCAATTCAGGCGAATTTGATCACTTCTAGATTAGTTTACGCGCGTGAAAAATTCTCTTTTTTGTTCGATTCGATGATTCTGGTTGTCTTTTTTAAATTTTAAAGTGGTTCACTTCAAGACATGAAGTAAATCATTTAAAATTAACTTGTACAATGACTAGTAGCGTGACAATTCAAATTCAATTCGAACTTTAATGCAAAAATATGATTATTGAGTCAAAATAAACTTACCACTAGCTCGCCTGTCTGAGATATCTGTGATCTGTTCGTCCGTAAAACTGTTACTAAAACAATAAACAAGTACATATGGCTACGCTCTCTCGTAATCCACGAAAACAAGGAAAATATTACAAATTGCAACGTTAAACTGATTTTGATCCGTTTTCCAAAAGTTTTCTGAACTTCACCGTTGAACCAATGAAAATCTTTTTGAGACCTTTTCAGGTTATTCGACTCAAATTGATAAACTCACACTTACATTTCTTATCTTTCTAAAATTAGAGATTAGACGAAAAATCGGCAATATGGGCCCAGGATGTGTGGACAAAATTGATTTCAACATATAAAAAAGAGAACAAGATTTGCCCATCTTTAGATGATGAGCACTATGACAAAATAGCACACACCTTGCACTTCTATTGCTGAGTGGCAGTTGCATCACGTTTCCTGAGGAGGCAACAGACATGGATGCCCTGTTGGCCCCACCTATCATCTGGCCATTTGCAACAGACAACACAGAACTGCTGTCTCCGGACGCATTCGCACTCCTGTTGCTCAATCCTCCCCCTCCCCCTCCCCCTTGCCCCACCCCACCAGACGAAGACACATTCAAAGCGTGCATGGGGCTGTTGGGTGTCGTCATTGCCTAAAAGACATTAACAAATAAGATTAGGCGGTAAAAGGCATTAGACAGTAGCAGAAATTCCGATAATCGATATCATTGCAAAAAATTGACGAGTGTACAGTGCTGATTTAAATTATCCGGACAAAACGAACAAAACTTGAATTTTCAAACGCGTTTTTCTCAAATTGGGTTAAGAGTAGACAAAAAGTGAAGAGGACAAAAGTCGCTTAGAATTTCACCAGAATTATTATGGTGCCATTTTTTCTCCGAAATTCTCAACCAAAATTTTACCCCAAAAATGGGTCATTTTGGCTTTTTTCAATTAATCAAGAATTACGCTGAAACTATTTTGTTAATTGATAAGAATATTATATCATTAGAAGCCTCTTACGCAGCCCAACAAAGTTTAAGAGGGAATAAATCTCCAAAAATTTGCGCAAATTGTTTAAAATTTATTTTTAAACAGAGATTCTGGGTTTTATATAGTAAAAATCATATTTATTGACTATCAAGTGAAAATTTTTTCATTTATACTGGTTTTTGGATATTTAACCCTTCTTAAACTTTGTTGAGCTGCGTACGAGGTTTCCTGTGATATAATTTTCATATCAATTAACAAAGTAGTTTCTGCGTAATTTTTGATTAATCGAAAAAAGCCAAAATGACCCATTTTTGGGGTAAAATTTTTGTTGAGAATTTCGGAGAAAAAATGGCACCATAATAATTCTGGTGAAATTCTAAGCAACTTTTGTCCTCTTCACTTTTTGTCTAATCTTAACCCAATTTGAGAAAAACGCGTTTGAAAATTCAAGTTTTGTTCGTTTTGTCCGGATAATTTAAATCAGCACTGTACTTCCAACCGTAAGGTGTCAAAAATTAAAAGTTCAATACGAGCAGCCAACCAACGATTAGCATCCGAATGAACCAGGCACAAAGCGATGACGACAAAAATTGATAAGAATTTGACCAGAAATTACACGGCGCAATCACAAAATGCTCACGCAACATTTAAATAATAGCGGAAAAAAATGTTTCGCATAATTTGCTCTACTTCAAAAACACTGCATGGCAAGCTAGCCGACACAAAATGAGACGAAAGCTACAAAGACAAAATAAAAACTTGGAAAAAATTATGCAGAAGCCCGTTGAACAAAAAAAAGTCACAAAACATTTTTAAACATAATTATTTTTAAAACTCTAATTTTGCAATATAGCCTCGAAGCAGACAAACACGCAACAACATCTTTTTTCGCCCTCTGAATGACGCAAACTGAGATACGGCATTAGCCTCATCAACAAAAACAAGAATATCAAAAAAACATAGCCAAAAACCCGTTCGAAAAGAGTCAATGAACGCACGGAAACAAAAAAAATACTGACTTCATTTTTGAAAACATCTGATTAAAAATAGAGAGCATTGAAGCTCTTTGAATTTCTAAAAAAAATTATGACTGACACTTTTTTGATAAAAATTAACTCAATTAATTAATTTGAGAAAACTGGAAGGTAAGTTTTATCAGCCAGAAAATCTGAAATGTATAATGTAAATCCACTTTCGCCACTAAGAGTCCATCACGTTTTCCGGGACATTTACACTTTCGCTGCTCACTAGCTGAGTCTGTCTTCCTTTAAACAGAGGAAATGAACTGAATTTAAAGAAATCAAAATTAAAACAGCAAAACAGTAAATTTGAGTCTGAACAAATTTTAAGACTTTTCCTGAAAAAAAAAATTTAAAAAAAAAAATAATAAAATAATCGCGACCTATATTAGAGTCTTAAGAACGTTCATCGACTCGAAGCCGCCGTCGCACCGGTACTCGAACTATCTACTTTGAGTGGAAAATTCACAGTTAAACTTAAAATAAAACTCCAGCTTTCAGACAATGATTTCGATAGAATAACCAGTCTGATAATTTTTTATGTGTGGCCATACTAGACCAGCTGCAGCGGTTCAGGTATAGCTATTAAACTAGGACTCTTAAGCGTACAGCTTGGATAGAAATGGAAACCTTGAACTGGAGATCCGATCCGAAGGAAAAAGTTATTTACCGGGAAAAAAGTCTAGTACCCGATTGCATTACCCTTGCTCATCTCAAGGGTATTTATTCCTCTGGAAAATATGAAAAGTAACATCTACTTTTGAAATCAGCAGTCGATCACGTTTTTCGTGACCTTTACACGTCTTCAGTTCGATAGTGGAGTTTCTGTCCCTTTTAAGAAGGAAATGAACTGAACTAGAAAAGAAATGAAAAGTGAAACCGTGAAAAATCAAATCTCAGCGTGAACAAATTTAACTTTTTCCTGGAAAAAGAGAACAAAAAACATCACCAAGACCTATATTAAAAGCATTCACCACATTCATGACTCTTAATGAATTCTTGGCTTAATCTTCCTTCTCGCATTGTATATTCTTAGCAGATAGGGCCAAATTATGCTGTTTAATTTACGAAATAACCTATGCGCTAAAATGATTAACTTGGACGCTCGCAGAATGGCCTGCGCAGTTATAACTATAGGCTTTGAGACCAAATTCATCTAATTAATTTTCGAAACAAACAAGGGAATCATTCACGCCCATATCCGAAGGACCGAGAACTCGAAAATCATGTTAACGAATTGAAACAATAGGTTTTGGACAGTTTAAAAGACGCTGATTAATTCAAAGCAGACTAACATGTGTCGCACTGTGAGGAGTAGACTGCTGTAGGTGATAATTTGCACCACCTAAGCTATTTGTATTCAATTGAAGAGGGGTAAAAAGTAGAGGGGAGCGTCTGCCCTGACATTGGAGTCCACCGATATTGTTTCCGGAGGATGGTTGAATGCCGCCACCGTTCGAGGTTGTCGGAGTGAGTCCGAACACAGCGGAGCCTCCGAGTGCTTTGAGCCGCTCGTCGTGCTGCAGCTTCAGTCGCTTTTCAGCAAGTAGAAAATAAGTGGCAGATATGTGGTCGTATGCTTCCGAATTCAAGGAGCTGAAAAGAATTAAATGTATCCAAATTTTAGATCGAAACATGTAAGAATCGGTACAAATAGGAGGGCTTAATCATTATCATCTATAAAATTTATGACTCCTATCATTATGTACATGGCAACTATACTTTAACAGTAGTATATAGTCAACAGACAGTTGGAAAAGAGTCTATGAAAGCAAGCTTACAAAAAAAACTTTCGAATTCAAAGAAAAAATAGATGGCCTTCAAACTCTTTGAAGTTCATTTAAAGAATGACACTTTTTTGAGAAAACTGGATCAATAGGTAAATTTTTCTATTTCGCTGGGAAAATTGATAATTAAATTCCGTTTTCGAAATTAGAAATCGATCACATTTTTCGCGACCTTAACATTTTTGCTGTTCGATAGTAGAGTTTGTCTTTCTTTTAACAGAGGAAATGAACTGAACTTTAAAAGAAATCAAAAGTCAAACGGCAAAATTTCCTGAAAAAAAACGAAGAAACAAAACCATCGCGACCTTTAGAAGAGTCTGAACTACGTTCATCGACTCTTAAAAACATGCGTTTTCTTACCAACACACATAGCCATTTCAATTTGAATCTAATTTTAAGGCCTAATTGCTTAATCAGCGAATACGAATGGCAATCACGTTTGTTAAATGGGCCGAGCAAACTTGTCAATCGAATTGACCTTCAACAAATTATGTTACTGTTACAAATGACCTTTCTCCGATTGAAACTTATTTCGAACTCACTGATAACTAGGAGTATTTTTGACATTTGGATTAAGGTTTGAAGTAATAAGACAAGCACAAATTTGTCCGATCTCTGATTTCGTGGCTTGGAAAAAAATGCGAAAAAATCACAAAGCATTTACCATTTTTTCGCATCTGAGAGCCAGTTGACGAAACAAAGCAAAACTAAACAAAAAATTGAACGGTCTTTCTAAACATAGCCAACGGATAGATGAAAAAGAGTCTTTCCGAGAAAAAATAGATGGCCCTTCGAATTTCTGGAACAATTAAGTAGAAACTTTTTTCTCGGTGTAAATTAACACAATTTGAGAAAACTGGAACAATACGTGAAATTTCTATGTATCTGGGAAAGCTGATCATTACATTCAGTTTTTGAAACTAAAAGTCAATCACGTTTTTCGTGACCTTTCCACTTTCGCTGTTCGGTACGCAGTTTGTCTTTCTAAAGGAATGAAATGAACCTAGAAAAAAAATAATAAGTCAAACCGCAATAATAAAATACATTTGAGCCTGAACAAATTTTAAAGACTTTTCATGAAAAAAACCATCGCGACCTATATAAGAGTGAACTACGTTCATTGATTCTTAAAAAAAATTGAAACAAAAAATTGTGAAACTAAGCTATGTTAAGTACAGAGTGTATGTTTCTCGTCTAACAACGCGTTAAAAGACAAAAAATGCCCAAAATGATACAGAAGCTAAGCTGCGCTTTGCAAAAACCAGCGAGAACACAATAAAAAGCAGCTTTCTAAAGTGAAACAAGAAAAAGCCTCAAAATAGTAAAATTTTGCTAAGTATCGGACTCGAATACTTAGCAAAATTCGAGATAACCTCGAGATTCGGAGTCTCACGCCCTGCCCTCTCGGCCATGAACGCTTAAATATCGGCTAGTAAAAAATAAAGTAGCAACATATGCTAATAAATTGCTAATGCCTTTCAGCAAAAAAGGCACCAAATACAAAGAGACACAATTTTACATTTAACAATATTGAAAATAACAAGCTGAAGGCCTCCTCACTAACTTTACATGTAGTAATTCGGAAATGAAATGATGTATAAGTTATGCATTTCAAAAAAATTAGCGTGTAACGCACCTCCGGTGCTTCGAATTTTTAAGAAATTTATAGAAAACCGCAGATGCGCGAAATAAGATCTGCATCATTTGCGTGTACTCTGACAGCACCCGATTACAGGGTTGGTAATTTCAAATTTGGTAAAAAATTTGTCCTCAAAATTTTTTACATTCAAACGTTGAAAACAATAAAATCATTAAATTTTTACATATTAGTTCATTTAAAATGACATGAAAGATGTCACATCTCGAAAACTAATAAAAATGAGCCAGCGCATTTAGACGCAAAGTTGGCAACAACTCCTGAGACTACTCTCACAGCAGTACCCAAATACAGCGTTGAGAAAATCAAATTTTGTAAACTTCAAATTGAAGTTTTCTAAAAAAAATTTTGAAAAACCATACAAAACGTCATACCTCAAAAACTACAATGATTTGAGCAGTCAAGTTCGGAGGCAAAATTCTCAACACCTGAGAGTACTCTGAAAGCCCCCAACTACAGTGTTGGGAATTTCAAACTTTGAAAAAAAATAACGTTTGAGTTTTCTGAAAATTTTTTCAAAAAAATCACAAAAAACGTGATATCTCAAAACTACGAGGACTTGAGCAGTCATATTTCGAGGAAAAGTTCGCAACTCCTGGGAGTAACCTGACAGAGCCTCGTTTAGAGATGGGAACTTCAAATTTTGTTAAATTTTTATCTTAGTTCTTTGAAAACTTTTTAAAAAAAGACATAACAAATGTCACATCTCGGAAACTAAGATCGTTTGAGCAGTCGCAACTTGACGCAAGATTTGCAACTTGGAACTACTGAGAGCACACTCACAGTAACTAACTATAAAAAACGCCATAACTCAAAAACAAAAAGATTTGAGCGGTGATACTTGGACGCCAGATTACTAACCTTTGAAGGTACCCTGACAGCACCCCACTATTGAGATGAGAAACTCAATTTGGGTAAGTTTTTTTTATATCTTAAATCATAAAACACGTGATATCTCGAGAACAACAAGGTTTTGAGCAGTCATATTTCGAGGCAAGAATTGCAACCCTTGAGTACTCCAGGGCCCAATAGCAGGATTGGGAATTTCAAATTTTGTGAATTACTTTATAATTTGGGTTTCCTGAAAATTTTTGAAAAAACTACATAAATTGTCGCATCTCGTACGCTAAAAGGATTAGGGTTTTCATAATCGGAGGTCAAAATCGCAACCCCTGGGGAACCCTGACAACATTCCACTATTAGGATACTTATTTTAAACTCGGTTAAATAAACACTGAATTCAACTGGAAAATCGAAGAAAACTCTTAACCATAGCATTATAATATAAAGCTTAAACGTGGAAAAATTCTTTCGTTACGCATGGAAAAATAATAGGTTGAAAAAGCTTAAGCGTGGCGAGATAGTGAAGCCAGCAATTAAATAGATAAAAGATAGATTAAGATATTTTTCAAGTTTTTATTACTGTACTGATGTTTGAAACAAATAGCTTTTGTCGATTAATTTGATGAATTAAAAAACATCAACTGTGTTAACTTATTACTAATCGAATGTCAAAGCACATTCTATCAAAGTTTCGTAAAAGTGTCACCAAAAGTGACGCCAATATTTGCGACTAAGGTTGGAAAAATGAAAAGTAGTACTATTACTCTTCGCTCGATAGTGTGTTCACGGGTAAAATATTTAGATTTTTTTCCGACCCTAGGAGATCAATATCTTTCAGATGATTCAAATTACTATTGCTTATCATAATAACTTCAAAACTGATTGTGATTTAAGCTTGATTTCAAGATATATTCTATGACAAAACTGAAACTCACAGAAATTCAACATAAAAAGTGCGACTTAGATTGGGGAAAAAATATATGGTTGAGCAACTCGAGCAGTTGCTCCTAACTAAAACAGTTTCAGTCGTCATTCGAGCTGCAATGACAAAATCTCTAATAAGTTTTCAGCGCAGAGAAAAACGATTTTGAGTTTCTTTATCACAAAGAGTGGATTAATTGAGCTACTCTTCTCTAAAGAAGGTCACCAAAATGGATGTACTTCTTTATATTAAGGTAGTACACGAAAAATACTGATTTAAACTTTCACGGACACTTTCTCTTTTTTTAGTGTCTAATATTTTTTTCAACTTTTTTTCCTCTGACATTTCAACCCCCCCCCCCCCCCCTACCGATTGTCTGATGCAGTCGATCAAAACTAGCCAATAAAAAAAAGTTTGATATCTAGCCAAAATAACCAGTCGAAAACTAGCCGAAACAAAAGTCGTTCTTGAACGATCCAAATCCTTATCGGTGAAACTACACCAGTTGCCCGACTTTATTCTCTTTTCCTATCTATCTGTCTTGCGCAAAAACACGCATATGAGCAGAGCCTCGCATCACTTTCAATAAACCATTGAATGACAATGAAAACAAATGAAAAAAAATAAAAAAAACCTTCAAAAGTGGTTTTGGTCAATCAAAATTATGAAAATTGCAACAAAAGCCCCCAATACCCGGAAAAAATTACCTGCATTTTCCAAGGAGCTTTCAGAATGCCGAATTTTTGAAAAAATCTTTTCTGCACAGCAAAACCGACAAAAACAAGCACAGGAAATAATCTTATCTAACCGAAAAAATTCATTTAGCAAAAAAAAACAAGACGCGACGAAAATAGAATTCCCATGCTCTGTCGTATCGCATCAATCACGGGTGTTGACACCAACTTGGAAGAAAGCTTAATCTTCAAAAAAAAAACGGGCTACGGTAGCTAAGCCAACAAAAATAAACGGACAGACGATATTCCGAAAGAGCACAAAAACTCTAATTTGTAAAAAACAGGTCCCGGCTGAATTCAAACCACCAAGCCTTTGCCGCCTCAAGCAGTTGTGTTACCTCTACGCCAGATGTGCCGGATGGTTGATTGATTTTGAATTTATAATAAATAAGGGTACAAAAGCCGAAAAGTCCTGAGCAGAAACCTTTCATGCCAAAAAAATCTTATAATAAAAACAATGAAATTTCCCTTCCCCTCACAACACACACACGCACGCAAAAAAAATTTTCGGTAGTCAAACGGAGCAAAAAGAAAAAAAATCTCGTACACGATTGCAATACCCTTCTTATTGCATTTTTCTCCTTAATTACAGATAAAGCGATAAACCAACAAAAAAAATCAAATAAAACCCCCAATAATTTTTGTCAAAAAGTTACAAAATTGGCAAAAAAAATCATATTGGAATTGAAATAACTGCACTTTTAGAAATTTTAGAAAGAGGAAAAGCATCGCGCTACATGCAATAAAACCCATACATAGCAGTACAAACTAACCAACGAAAACAGAGGTGAAAACCGTGAAAAAATATCGAAAAAATTATACTAAATTTTTCTGGATTTGGTCTTGAATAACAGTTTCTAACAGAGAACATAACGCAGAGAAGAGGCTATGCAATTTCCAATGCTATAATGAAATTTCCAAATAAGTGAACACTTTTAATGCACACTTTTATTTGCGAGTTAGGTTAGAAAAAAGAAGGTTCGTAATAACACACTAAGCTGACGCTAGTGCAATAAACCGAAATGTTTTACGCCGAATACGAAAAGAATGAAAAGAACAAACGAAAACAAAAATGGATATACTGAAATCAGAATTGATATATTTGAAATCAACATTAAAAAAACTCTAATAAGAATGGGAATTTAAATTGCAGACATGCTCAAAATTTGTCTGTTCTCCATCTTTCTGTTCGTTGAAGAAGGTAGAGATGACCAACATTTCAGTCAACCGGCGAACAAAGTTAATTACGGGAAAAAAGTATAGTAACCAATTGCAACATACCCTTGCTTATCGCAAGGATAATTAAATTAGCTGAAAAGAAATCAGTATCTGCGATCACAGTACTTTAAAAAAACAGAAAGATTGATTTTGTTCAACTTTACTACTTACTGAAGAATGGCCGGTTCATCTGCTATGTTCTGCGTCGTCATACAATCCACTATTTCTCTGTGTTCTTCTTCCGTAATCATATCACGTGTAATCACTGTGTTCTGCCAGTGAGATCCCCCAACTCGATGCACCCCTCTGAATGCCCCCTGACCCTGGTGACTCGAGGCGGGTACGGGTCCCCCGTTGGGACTCAATTTATAACTGCTTCCTACTGATGGATGACAGATACTTCCGTAGTGTGTGCCCGTGTTAGTGTTTATGTGGGTAATGTTTGAGTGGGGGTTGGGGGGCTGGTGCGTCAAAGGGGTGTCGGGCGAGGGTGCCATTTTCATCCAGGGGTGATCGAGAATTTGGGCCAGCGATAATCTGTCTTCTGGTTCACGCTTTAGAAGATTGCTTACCAGACTGAAAATAGACAAAGACTGAGCTCAAAATGCGCACTAATGGCAAATTTGAAAAAATTACAAAAATTAATTTGAATTTCTAAATCATTTCATTTCATATGACAACCTTAATGTGACAAGTTTCTGGACTCATCTTATTTTTACTTATGATGTCTCATTTCGCAAGAAAAAACAAAAGTAAATTAAAAGTTCCCTGCCGCTATGTGGTCGCAAGTAATAGTCGTTATTGAGTCGATTGATGATCTGAGATTTTTCAACTCATCAGCTAAGTATTTAATTCAACTGAGCTGAACTCACTCTTTGCACTCGTCTGAAAGTTCGTGAGGGAGGGTGAACTTGCAGTCCATGATCATGGTCAGTGTCTCACTGTCTGTGCCCTCATTGAACGGGGCCTCCCCACACACCAGCATAAACAACAGTACTCCCAAACTCCATACGTCTACAAAAACAAACACATCTCGACATTTTTAAATTCTTTTGCGATGAACTGAATTAATTCTGCTTGATTTTTGGATTCATCCAAAATTATGGCATTCAATATTCACTTTCAACTGTTTCGGTTGGAATCTAGCCCGAAACTCTCGCCATTAGCTTCGCAGATTATACCTGATTTGTAGCAATAACAGAAAAGAAGCTGCAAATTATGAATTGATTTTTATTTTTCAAAAGATCAAAGAGTAACTACAGCTCACCGACAGCTGCTGCTTCATAGGAGTCGCCGAGGAGTATCTCTGGAGCTGAGTATGCCAAGGAGCCACAGGATGTCCTCAGATGTGTTCCAGGTGTGTACTGATTGCTGAAACCGAAGTCAGTTATCTTCACTACATCTTGGTTGCGCGACAACACCACATTCTCCGGTTTCAAGTCTCTGTGTACAATGTGTAGGTCATGGCAGTATGTGATTGCGGAAACTATTTGCTGGAAGAAGTCGCGAGCCTTGTCTTCCGGTAATCCACCTTCGTGTTTGGTGAGGAAGTCGTACATGTCGCCTAAGTAACAGCCGCTCATCGCTATAGTTCGGCAATATTGTAAAACAGATATACTGTTTTACCCACAGGTTAATTCTTTCTTTGATTTCTTTGCTCGTTTAAGCTAATCAATGAGACTGGTAACGCATTATACTGTGAGACATCAACAATCAGTTTCGAACTTTTGGGTTTTTGTGAAAGCATGAAACACTTTCAAAGCTCGAAAAATATCAGTACAATTCAAAAACGTGTATGATTTAGGAAAATTGATTAAAAAAATAGACAACAGACAGGTTGAAAAGAGTCAATGAACGTACAGAAATAGAAAAACATACTGAATCATTTTAGAAAAACTTCAACTATTGAATTTCAAGTTAACAAATATATGGCTTTAAAGCTCTCTGGAGTTCAAGAACATTTTATTAATGAAATTTTTTGATTGTTTAATTAAATTTGAGAAAACTGAATCAAGAGAAGTTTTTATTCCGCTGGAAAATCTGAAATTCAAAACCCACATTCGAAATTAGAAGTCAATTACGTTTTTCGTGACCTACAAACTTATGCTGTTCTGTAATAGAGTTTGCTTTTCGTTTTAAAAATGAAATACCTTGAACTTGAAAATAAATCAGAAGTCAAACCGCGAGAAATCAAATTTGAGCGTGCGCTTTCCTGAAAAAAAAATCAAAATGACCTATTCAAGAGTCTTCACTAGGTTCATTGACTCTTAAAGAGAGGCGAAACGGTTTTTCGGGCCCCTTGAAATACACTAAACAATAACACGCCAAACCAGCCGACAAAAAATAAGGAAGCCTCTAATTGGGAAAACAAATTTTAGAAAATGTCTTAAAATTGGATCTATCAAAAATTTCATCTGTGTCTCAATTTTCATTGAAAAGTTCATTTTGAAAACTAACATGCTAAGAAAAATGAATGTGACGTAAGCATCAGAAGAAAATTTACCAAGCGGTAACAAAGCCGATATCAAACAAGTTCAAAGAATCGTGGAGCCAATACGCCTCACTCAAACAAATACACGCGTAAGAAACTTTACTCGCTCACAAAACGAAGTCACCAATATTAGGCTACTAAGCAAAAATAAAATAATTTGAATCTATTCGAATAAGAAAAAAAACCAACGAAAAAACTGAAATTATGACAAATCGGAGTTATCTTAAAACCAACATGAAAAGCGAATTTCCAAAAATGCTCGAAATAATTCTGTTGGTTGACGAACTTCAAACTTGGAGATGACCACCAATTCCCTCGCAGTCATCCTTTAAACAAATATTAATTACTGGGGAAAATCCAGAACCCCGTAGCTGTACTCTTGCTTATTGCAAGGGCAATTAATTCAATCCAACCTGACAAAAAAGTGCTTGCGTCACAGCAACTAATGAAATTAAAGATGATCTTGTATCACTGCGAAATGGGGCGTAACCTTGCGTACACTTTTTGGGTGGTTTTCCTTCCAATTGACCATTGATTTAAGATGCGTAAAACGGGAAAAGTTAGGGAAACAAAACGAAACTATCAAAAAAATGATGTTTTGAGTTTCAAAGAAAAGAAAAGAAAATATTAACCGAGAGCTCTTTGAATTTACACCATGCTTTATGATTGACACTTTTTTGATTAAAAAATCCAATATGAGAAAACAGGATTTCTTTACTCCGCTCTGAATATTTAATAACGCACTAGGTAAAGCGGATAAAAATGAACTTTGCGATACATCACAAACGTCAAACATAGCGAGACGAACTAGCCGTATAAAAAACCGAGAAGCCACAAACTTTGAAAAAATATATCTACCAGAAAAAAAATCATTTCGACAAAACAATTGGCGATGAAGATTTCAGGCCTTGACTTAGCATTAGAACAACATTTACAAGCGATAACTAGGTCGACAACACTTGGGTAGACAACCGCTGCGCCAGGAAAAAAAGATGTTCAAAGACTTCAGTCCCTCGGTGTCTTTTTTGCTCAGCAAATGAAGCAAAAAGAGGCTACTATGCCAATAAAATACATACCGTTTAAGCCGAATAAACCTAAATCAATTGCAAAATAAATCTGAAAATTTGTTGGGACTCTACCTTCAGGCCTGAGCAAATAAATCGTGAAAACGAAGTTGCTTACGGAAGAAAATCTTGTACTCGATTAAAATCAACTCTCGAGACAAATTCATTCACGTTTCCTCGCGCCCTTTGAGCTTAATTCATGGAACCTTCCTTTTAGCCAATGACTTTCAATTGAACTTCAAAAAACCGGGAAAAATCGAATTTGAATGTGAGCAATATTCAAAGCTCTTTCCTGAAAACAAGACAAAAAACAACGGTACCTATTTTCCCTACACTAGGTTCACTGAAAAACAACATAAATGCGAAGCGTATCTTAACACACTTGCGCTACAACCTAAACGTAGAAAATAAAGCGGGGGCTTCTTAATCGGAAAAAATCTGCTACATAAAAAGTTTTGTCTACAAAAACTTCATACATTTTTCACGAATGACTTTCAATTTGAGGAAAAGATTTTGAGAATTAAAAATCTTTGATTTAAATTCTCAGAATGTTTTTCTCAAATTGAAAATCATTCGAGAAAAATGTATGAAGTTTTTGTAGACATAATTTTTTAATGTAGATTTTTTCCGATTTAGAAGCCCCCGCTTCATTTTCTACGTTTAGGTTGTAGCGCAAGTGGTGCTAAGATATGCTCCGCATTTATGCTATTTTTAGGCAAACTTAGTATCGAGAAAAATTAATCGAATGATAGCCGACAAAACTTAGGAATCACATTTGCCGAAATAAGTTATGTCAAATATAAACAAAAATAAACGAAAGAGCACCAGATTAGAAAAAATTGTACTAAATCAGAATGCGCAAATTTACAAACTACAGGAACGATTCCAAACGCGTATCATTTCTAGCAAAGATTACAACCAATAAGTCAAACAGTCCAATAATTAAATATCTTCGATAAATAAATAATTTTATTTTCAAAAAATAATCAGCTCCTGGCTAGAATCGAACTCATCATCTTTGTCGTCTCAAGAATGGATGTCACCTCCATATTAACTGCCAAAAACTTTTATGGTAGTACCGAAAAAAATATTACTATACGAGACGACCCCCTATGAAATATGGACTATAAAAATATGACCCCCCCCCCCCCCCCCCACCGTGAGCTCAAGATATTTACTGACCTCCATCGCCCAGCTCCTGGACGATGTAGAGGAACTTGGTTGAGTCGATGACCTCGTAGAGCTGGACGATGTTCTCGTGTTTGACCATCTTCATGCAAGCCACCTCCTGGTACAGATGAACTCTGGACACCTCGTCCAACTTGCTCTTGTCTATCACTTTGATCGCCACTCGCTCACCTGTAGAGCAAAAATATTCCAATTAATCAATCTTATAGGCAGAATGTATTTTATATTGTAGATGTTCTTTTGTAGGCTTTACGGTATCCTGATGATGGTCTTCAAGGTCAAAAACGTTTGAATTTAATTTGACTCTCCCGTTTTTTCCCTACATAATCACAATCTTCAAATAATCACATCAACTGGGGGATCATTCGTAACAGACGAAAACTCGTAACAGGACAGGCGACGATTCGAAATAAAGCAATGTCAATTAGCAAACGCTTGCTCCTCTGCGCTTACATTCGACACGAGAGGTATAGCGCGCGTGAATCAGTGTTCGCCTTCGATCAAACATTTCATCGAAACTTCAAAACTTACCAGTGTAGAGATGCTTTGCCAGTTTGACTATTGCAAAGTGTCCCTTGCCCAAGGTCTTTTCAAACTCGTAGAGTCCTTTGATTTGACTGTCGCGTCTCAGTCTGCCGTCTCGAAGACTCTCCATTTTGTCCATCCGATTATCAGAGAGCGAGCTGCGAAACGAAAGGAACGAAATAAGAAAACATGCTGTCACTTTTTCATTTTCCAAAGCTTGCACAGCTTTTTCTCAGAAACTAACACAAATTAATAAACCAGCAAAAAAAATAGGGGTCGGAAAGAACCTAGAGAGAGTTTCTTTTCTTTCAGGCACAATCATGCTCCAAGAAATGAGCAAGCAAACATTCAAAGGCGAAGCTGCTTTTCGTCAACACAGCAAAAACCGGCAAAAATGGCTCTGAAAAGCCAAAAGTTATCCGAAAAAAACGATAAAACTATAGAAGTATGCCTTGCCAGAAAATCAACTTTAAAAAAAAACAATTACCAAAAAAATATAATTTATGTCTCTTCAATGGGCATGCCTCAATTCAATTTGCAATGATTACTTGAGCAACTCGAATTTGAGTATTCAACCCATCAGAATTGAGTATTCAACACAGGCGAAGCGGAGCTTCGCATCACTTGATCTACAAAATATATGACTATGATTACCTACAAACGAAAAGACATATCAAAAAATGAAAAAAAACCCCTTCAAAAAATCATGTTTTGTTGTCAAAAAGTTTAAAACATTGCAAAACAGGACAAAAAATTCCAAAAACAAAGTTACTTGCACTATTAGAAACTTCAAAAACAGGTTTCAAAATCCTTAAAAGGAACCGAAACTTTCAGCGGAATCTAAGCCGACAAAAATATCAGACACGAAAGCCTAGAATATTTGTGTCTGAAGCATGGGTGATACTATTGCACTATATGCATAGAACAATCCTTGAATTTATATAGAAAACAACTTCAAAAATGTTTAATGAACAGCCTGAAAAAAATCGAAGTAGCAAAAAATAGGCAAAACTTAGAACTCAATTACTTGCTAAAAACAAGAATACACTGAAAGGTTTTTAATTCGAGTAAAAATGCCCAAATTTACGACAAATTTTGTGCTGCAGTAACTGAGCCGACAAAAAAATCAAACAAGCAGAAGTCCGACAAATATTTATTGACGCGCGGAAAATTTTCCGCTTACAACACAAAAACAGGTCCTGTCCGGATTCGAATAATTGACTTTGGTCTTTATAAGCAGGAGCATTACCTCTTCGCTACATGCGCGATGTAACGTCAGACTTTTGATTTCATATGAACCAAAGGTAAAATGATTCAAGTGATTCTGTTAAACTAGTTGTTAACGCGAAAAAAATATGTATAGTCCGGTTAGATAACGCTTGCAAATCGCAAGCGTAAAAGTCTCAGAAATCGCAAACATCTCAAAAAATCGAAAAAGCAGGCCATTCAAATTATTATTGACCGATTCGGAAATAAGCAGATAAATGAACTTCCAGTTATTGAAAAATCGAAATCGCGTATTAGAAAAATCATAAAACCAATTTAAAAAAAAAACGAAAAATAAATTTAAAAAAAATTAATTTTATATCTGCACGAATTGTACAGCAAAACTTTGCAAATTGCCGTTACTCATTTTCTCTTAATAATGAATTCAGTTTTGTGCAAAAGTCAACTAGCCAACAAGAGAAACCTAAAACAATTGACTTCTTTTTTCTGAAGCTTTTAAATTGCGAAGAAAAAAATACAAGACAAACAGCACTTACATCAGTAATGACGATAAGTTTCGATAAAAGACTAACCAAACAAAAAATTTCAAATGCTAAAAAGTATTTTTTAGAAAATTTATTATTGCCGAGAAAGATCTGAACGGAGCTTCGAAAAACAGTTTTCCTGGAGTAAAACTATATTTCAATGCTTAAATAAAAGCTTACTTTCTTATTACAAGACCTACCCGCACAAAGTTAACCTAAAAACTGGTTTTTTCGATACTAGAACAACTTTTGAGAATTTTACAATGTCGTTCAAATCACGAATGAATAATCTTTGATATATATCACGCGACTCACTCCGACGATTTTTTGTGGTACTTGAACGTGACTTTTAGCGGAAAAAAAAGAGAAAAAACGTTTTCTCTGCTTCGCAACTCTTGCGATCCAAAATTGAATGACTATCACTACTTGCAGATAAACCAACAAATCGAAAAACTTCATAGAAGTGTTTTTTTTTAATTATTAAACTTAAATTAAACGAATCCTTGGAAGTCATGACTATGATTACCTACAAACGAAAAGACATATCAAAAAATGAAAAAAAACCCCTTCAAAAAATCATGTTTTGTTGTCAAAAAGTTTAAAAAATTGCAAAACAGGACAAAAAATTCCAAAAACAAAGTTACTTGCACTATTAGAAACTTCAAAAACAGGTTTCAAAATCCTTAGAAGGAACCGAAACTTTCAGCGGAATCTAAGCCGACAAAAATAGCAGACACGAAAGCCTAGAATATTTGTGTCTGAAGCATGGGTGATACTATTGCACTATATGCATAGAACAATCCTTGAATTTATATAGAAAACAACTTCAAAAATGTTTAATGAACAGCCTGAAAAAAATCGAAGTAGCAAAAAATAGGCAAAACTTAGAACTCAATTACTTGCTAAAAACAGGAATACACTGAAAGGTTTTTAATTCGAGTAAAAATGCCCAAATTTACGACAAATTTTGTGCTGCAGTAACTGAGCCGACAAAAAAATCAAACAAGCAGAAGTCCGACAAATATTTATTGACGCGCGGAAAATTTTCCGCTTACAACACAAAAACAGGTCCTGTCCGGATTCGAATAATTGACTTTGGTCTTTATAAGCAGGAGCATTACCTCTTCGCTACATGCGCGATGTAACGTCAGACTTTTGATTTCATATGAACCAAAGGTAAAATGATTCAAGTGATTGTGTTAAACTAGTTGTTAACGCGAAAAAAATATGTATAGTCCGGTTAGATAACGCTTGCAAATCGCAAGCGTAAAAGTCTCAGAAATCGCAAACATCTCAAAAAATCGAAAAAGCAGGCCATTCAAATTATTATTGACCGATTCGGAAATAAGCAGATAAATGAACTTCCAGATATTGAAAAATCGAAATCGCGTATTAGAAAAATCATAAAACCAATTTAAAAAAAAAAACGAAAAATAAATTTTAAAAAAATTAATTTTATATCTGCACGAATTGTACAGCAAAACTTTGCAAATTGCCGTTACTCATTTTCTCTTAATAATGAATTCAGTTTTGTGCAAAAGTCAACTAGCCAACAAGAGAAACCTAAAACAATTGACTTCTTTTTTCTGAAGCTTTTAAATTGCGAAGAAAAAAATACAAGACAAACAGCACTTACATCAGTAATGACGATAAGTTTCGATAAAAGACTAACCAAACAAAAAATTTCAAATGCTAAAAAGTATTTTTTAGAAAATTTATTATTGCCGAGAAAGATCTGAACGGAGCTTCGAAAAACAGTTTTCCTGGAGTAAAACTATATTTCAATGCTTAAATAAAAGCTTACTTTCTTATTACAAGACCTACCCGCACAAAGTTAACCTAAAAACTGGTTTTTTCGATACTAGAACAACTTTTGAGAATTTTACAATGTCGTTCAAATCACGAATGAATAATCTTTGATATATATCACGCGACTCACTCCGACGATTTTTTGTGGTACTTGAACGTGACTTTTAGCGGAAAAAAAAAGAGAAAAAACGTTTTCTCTGCTTCGCAACACTTGCGATCCAAAATTGAATGACTATCACTACTTGCAGATAAACCAACAAATCGAAAAACTTCATAGAAGTGTTTTTTTTTTAATTATTAAACTTAAATTAAACGAATCCTTGGAAGTCATGACTATGATTACCTACAAACGAAAAGACATATCAAAAAATGAAAAAAAACCCCTTTCAAAAAATCATGTTTTGTTGTCAAAAAGTTTAAAAAATTGCAAAACAGGACAAAAAATTCCAAAAACAAAGTTACTTGCACTATTAGAAACTTCAAAAACAGGTTTCAAAATCCTTAGAAGGAACCGAAACTTTCAGCGGAATCTAAGCCGACAAAAATAGCAGACACGAAAGCCTAGAATATTTGTGTCTGAAGCATGGGTGATACTATTGCACTATATGCATAGAACAATCCTTGAATTTATATAGAAAACAACTTCAAAAATGTTTAATGAACAGCCTGAAAAAAATCGAAGTAGCAAAAAATAGGCAAAACTTAGAACTCAATTACTTGCTCAAAACAGGAATACACTGAAAGGTTTTTAATTCGAGTAAAAATGCCCAAATTTACGACAAATTTTGTGCTGCAGTAACTGAGCCGACAAAAAAATCAAACAAGCAGAAGTCCGACAAATATTTATTGACGCGCGGAAAATTTTCCGCTTACAACACAAAAACAGGTCCTGTCCGGATTCGAATAATTGACTTTGGTCTTTATAAGCAGGAGCATTACCTCTTCGCTACATGCGCGATGTAACGTCAGACTTTTGATTTCATATGAACCAAAGGTAAAATGATTCAAGTGATTCTGTTAAACTAGTTGTTAACGCGAAAAAAATATGTATAGTCCGGTTAGATAACGCTTGCAAATCGCAAGCGTAAAAGTCTCAGAAATCGCAAACATCTCAAAAAATCGAAAAAGCAGGCCATTCAAATTATTATTGACCGATTCGGAAATAAGCAGATAAATGAACTTCCAGTTATTGAAAAATCGAAATCGCGTATTAGAAAAATCATAAAACCAATTTTAAAAAAAACGAAAAATAAATTTAAAAAAAATTTATTTTATATCTGCACGAATTGTACAGCAAAACTTTGCAAATTGCCGTTACTCATTTTCTCTTAATAATGAATTCAGTTTTGTGCAAAAGTCAACTAGCCAACAAGAGAAACCTAAAACAATTGACTTCTTTTTTCTGAAGCTTTTAAATTGCGAAGAAAAAAATACAAGACAAACAGCACTTACATCAGTTATGACGATAAGTTTCGATAAAAGTCTAACCAAACAAAAAATTTCAAATGCTAAAAAGTATTTTTTAGAAAATGTATTATTGCCGAGAAAGATCTGAACGGAGCTTCGAAAAACAGTTTTCCTGGAGTAAAACTATATTTCAATGCTTAAATAAAAGCTTACTTTCTTATTACAAGACCTACCCGCACAAAGTTAACCTAAAAACTGGTTTTTTCGATACTAGAACAACTTTTGAGAATTTTACAATGTCGTTCAAATCACGAATGAATAATCTTTGATATATATCACGCGACTCACTCCGACGATTTTTTGTGGTACTTGAACGTGACTTTTAGCGGAAAAAAAAAGAGAAAAAACGTTTTCTCTGCTTCGCAACACTTGCGATCCAAAATTGAATGACTATCACTACTTGCAGATAAACCAACAAATCGAAAAACTTCATAGAAGTGTTTTTTTTTAAATTATTAAACTTTAATTTAACGAATCCTTGGAAGTCAATTACATACCATATTTATCTACAAAATTTTTCCTACAATTTTCTTGATGCTTTCTTGAATTCTATTCAAAATTTATGCCAAAAAACTTAAAACAAAGCCAACAAACAGCTGAAAAATGTCATGAACACCAAGGAATAAAAAAATACTGACTTGTTTTTTTTAAATATATAACTTTCGAATTTCAAAAAAATGATTGAATTCAAGCTCTTTTAATTTGCAGATCATTTTATGATTGAGAATTCTTTAATAAAATTGACAGAACAAGATCAATAAATAATCTTTTTTATTTCACTTAGAAATTTGAACTTTAATTCCACTTTCGAAACGGGAAGTTTATCGCGTTTTTCGTGACAATTACACAGTCGTAATTGGAGAGCAAAATTTCCCTAGTTTTTAGCAGATGACATTGAATTGAATTTAAAGAGTGCATAAATATGTAGAAAAAATTATAAATTCATCAATTTGTACAAATTGTATTTTGTAAAAAGTTGAAACACATCAAGACTTTTCCTGAAAAAAAAATCATCACGACCTATATAAGTGTCTGAACTACGTTCATTGACTCTAAAAATTGAATGTTCAATACTCGAAACAAAACATAGGAGGCGGCAATCAAGCCGAAAACTCTTGAGCAGACATACGTTGTGCCAAAAAAGATAGAAAAACCAGCTTCTGGTCAGTATCGAATCCATTAACTTGGCGCAAGCATGGACGTTAACAAAACAAACAGCCCGAAATATATACTCATTTCCTACTGCTTGCTAATCACAAGCGTAATAGTCACAACATATCGCGCAACCATTTTAACGAAGGTTGCCACCTAAGATAATAAAACTAAAATGTTGAAACTTGATTTTTGACAATTTTCATTATTATCAAGTTTTAATACATAGGGCTTGAGAGCGAGACAGCTACATTTTCCAAAAATTTACTGTTCGAGTTCAACGGTTCTCATTTGAACAAAAGTGAAGCGGAGGTTTGAACCCAAAATGTCAGATATGGGAGGGTAGTTTTCGAGAAAATTCAAAAAACGGTCAAAAACCAGAACTTTGATTATTCTGATTGGGTTGTGCAGAAATTGAGAGTGGCCGCTAATGCAGGGGAGGTTTCCACTACACGGTATCTCCATTAAAGCCACAATCTCAGATTTGGGAGTTAAGTCAAAGAGATGCAAAAAACGCATAAGAAAATCCAAGGATTATAATTTTATGTGTAAAAAATAAGGGCGAAGCCACTTATGCAGGGGAGCTTCTTCTCAAATTCGTTCTTTTCATCTAAACCAGAATCTCAGATTTGAGAAGTTAATTTTAAAAAAAACACGAAAAATAATCTAAAATATTCAACCCACTGACTTTTTCGAAGGCTGTAGACAGAGGACTAGAGTAAAAATAGGCTAGAAGAGCATGCAGGCAGACAAGGGGTAAACGTTTTCTCTATTGTTACTATAATTTTTGCGAAACGTGAACTTTCCAAATCGCCTCAAAAAATAAAATGAAAAAAAAACCCAATCCCATACATTTTCATAAAACCTGTTTTTATCAAGCATTTGAAATTAAATTAGCAACGGAGAAAAACGTACGAAGCGGAAACAAAGCCTGAATCTACAATTACAGCGCATGAAAAATCTGTGACGTGGTTTAAGTTGCAAAAAACCATGCTTTAAGGCACCTGGAACTAAGCTTTAAGGCACCTGGGAAGGTACCTGGAACTAAGCCGACAAGTTACAGCGCAAGAAAAATCTGTGATGTGGCAACTAAGTCAACAAAACTTGATTAGATGAATGAAAGTCCAACTCAAATTTACGGTAAAAATCAATTGCATACATACTGGAAAAACAAGGTCCGGTCGGGATTTCAAACCCAGATCTGAGGGTGCAAAGGCAACGTTGTTAACTCTAGGCCAAGTGGGAAGGCACCTGGAAGTTGTAAAGATTCAATAATGAAACGAGTTGATGAATTGTAAATAAAAATTCTTTACGGGAAAAAGTCTAGTTCCCGATTATAATACACTTATTTGAAAACAAGACGACAAAAACAAAGTCGACCGACCTCGGTACAAAAATCTAACGAAAATTTTCGGCACATAAAAAAATTGCATTGCATTTCTGAATGTTCACCTCCAACTCTGAACGTCCAGCGGTACATATGCAGTTAATACACTCTAACCATGCTATCAATTCAGCGGTTACACAGAATGCAAAAAACACATTGCGCTACAAAATAGTGAATGAAAAAGACAAGTCAGAAAAATTATGTTGAAAAAATTACTTTATATAACTTGAAAAAATAACTGGACTTTAGAAAAAATAACTATTAAATTACAGCTACAAAAATTTCATAATTGTATCGAATGAAGTTCATAAACAGACCACAGAAAATGTATATCCGTTTCATTTACCGAGCGGCAACAAACTTTGAGTCGAAACCTGTTGAGTCGAAAACAAATCTATTGTCATAAAAAATTTCATAAAATTTAGAAGTTTTAACGAACCATCCAAACCGAAACGGATATATTTTGCCCTCTAAATTGGGAAAATTAAGTTGACTAAGTCGATATAACAAACTGAAACAGTTTGAATATTTAAAAAAAGCGAAAAAAAAAGAAACAAAACTGAAAATCAGACTTGGTAAATTTACAAAATTATGAAATTTCAGTTATAGCAAAAACTGTTTAAGTTGCAAAAGACCATGCTTTAAAAAGTAAACCAATCAAAGCCTTACCAGATAAAAAATGGCGTTTAAAAAACAGAAAATGAACCGACCGAAACTTAAGACGAAAAATACGGACCCCAAAATGAGAAGTTCTTTGAAAAATAATTACAACCTGAAACGGAGTTGGGTTAATTACTACTTAAATGATAGACGTGGAAGTGAAAATCCTACTTAAGAATAAAGATCCTCTAGAATTGATTCTGTGGACAAAATTGTTTAACAGAAAAATTCTAGAAACCGGTTGTAATACCCTAGCTTATAGCAAGGGTTATCATTTCACCATTCTGTGAACAAACTATTATTCAGAAGTCGAGAATATTGAGTCAGTGGTAGCTCGTTAGATCGCATGCGTCATATTATCTCGATTTCATATGATTCAATTTTTTGAAGTATTATATTTTCAGAAACCTTTATCCAGATTCATTCTTGCGAGGACCTCCTTACTTGCATAAAACTCATTTAAAATCGGAGCGCCATTTTAATCAGCCTTATAAATTCAGAGTGTTGTCAAAAGTAGGTTCAGCTGAGTGGTTCAGGACCAAGCGATAACATTAAATACAAACTCTTTGATGCTTTTTAATCAAGAGCTGCAACCACCAGTGTCTTGTACCGAAGGCTGACTTAAGATTAGTGTCGACGTCTCATCCTTCAGGAATTTATACCTTTCACCGCCCTAAGGACGAACAGACTAAACGCATTCAATCTACAAAAAATTGTATCAACCATCCTTACTTTTGATTTATTTTGCCTGACTGTACGGTCCAGCAGGGTTGCTTCTTCCTACGTCTTAATTCATGCAGATAGCAGCTAGCCAAGCCCCTTCAAACACGCCTGTCTCAAGAGACCAATGTCGCATCAAAACGTCAATAGATAAGAATGAGTGGATTGTTTGAATTTAATTTCTCAAATAAGCTAAGGAATCGTTTAGTATTTCATTTTGAAACGTAATAACGCAGGAGATTTCAAATATTTATAATTCTGAATAAATATTTCCCAAATCTTCAAATTTTCAGAAGTGGCTATGTTGTAAGATTTTCTTGGTTTTTCGTGATATATGTTTGATTAGAACGTGAAGTTATACAGCCCGAACGTCAAAAAGGAAACAGAACCGTAATGGGTTACTATTTCGCTATCGCCATTGCCCTCTAAGATGAATATAATAAAGCACGCCGTTCACCTATATCCATTATCTGAAATAATCCGAAATTAAAGTTTGTAGCTTGAATAACACTGAAGGTTGCTCCATTACTCGTTGCAAGTAAGTTTAGATCGAGTAAGTGTAGTAAAAGAGTAGTTACAATTTCAAATTTGAATTTATAAATTTCTAGCATGTCAAAGTTCATGCAATCAGACATCAGAAAAATAACTTCAATTGAATTGAAACTACAAATTCGTACAAAATTTAAAAAGAAAGCTTTAGTTTAAGGCCAAATCTAAGCTAATGTGTACAAATACAATATAGGCCTCTAACAAATTAGGAAATCAGCAATTTCCCGATAAATTGCCCTCAATGACATAAAAGCTGAATAAGAGCTCGTATTTTATTACAGGCACTTCAGAATCAAAGCCAGGTAATGTCATTAAAGCTTTTTATACCAACACTACTCGGGCACCGTAAAAAGATACGAAAACAAAAACATTCCAGTTGAAATTTTAAAAGGAGAGGACTCTACAGTACAACACAAACCGCGCTGAATTTTTGGTAAATTTCAGCTATACTAGACTTTATTTCTCTTCTTTCATGGATTTAAACATCAAAAATTTATATTTTCCACGTAGATTTGAAAAAAAAGTAAATCGTAAAATAAAGCAACTGTTTGAGAAAAAACTGTAATTTCATTTCAAAGCAGCAGTTTCCAAAATTTGATCAAAAGCACATTTTGTAAGAAGGAAACGAAAAACAGGTAAATTGATTTTATAATGGCAACGACGATGTGAAATTTGCTTGCTTGTATTCCCAAGTATAGCGACTATACATAGCACCGTGTTTGGTGAAAGAAGGGAAGGGGGAGCGGGAAGTACACAGACGGGACGGTACGGTCCAATTAGCACATCTAGATGGACAGAATCAGCAGCAATATGAGACAAGAAAGAGCATTGTCAAGTCAAATCAAAGAATGCTAATACACGTAAAGGATCTCTTGAACCATCCCCTCCCCGACCAACGAACTTGGTATACGGTTCAACAATTCTGTGCAATTATGCTTCACCATTGCTCTGGCCGTTTATAGAGGTTGAGATCAGTTACAATTTAACATGAAGGTATCCCAAATTTACCCCAAAAATTTGATAGATGACAGAGCATTGCAGAAATAATTCAACGTGTTAGCAAACCGAAAAAAAAAAACGATCATGAACAATGTTTTTAATTTATTTTCTCAGCTCTCATAAAAGGCCAAAAGAAACTATCTAGGCAAAGTTTTCTGCACAGCAGAAAAATTGCAAATTTAACCCAGAAATGCCATTTTTGAAAAACTTTGATTAAAAAACTACGTTTGTGGTGGTAGGTAGTACCAAACAGGAAACCTTTAGGTAGTGAGAGAATCGATATCCGCTCTTCCACTGAGAAGTAGAAACTTCCAAATTTTAAGTTATAACTTCAAAATACCACACAAACATACCCGAGTGGCGCCCTTTGTGGCGCCCTTTTAATGTACGATAATCAATCAAGGTATCAGCTATCAATATATCCCAGAAAAAAATTTCAAGAAAAATATATCACAGAAGGAAAATATGCTGGAACCAAAATATCAGTTAGAGACAATTTGTAATCTGCCAATCGCAACAACAGTAAAAAATATTAGCTGTAAACACATTTTTTCTCGTCAATGTTTTGAAAACGAACAGTTCCATTCTAACGATCGATTTTTTGAACTGTACAATCGAATGAAAGTAACTGGCGTATTTCGCACCACGCGATACCGTGTTTGTAACGGAATTCATCTACAATGAATTGTTACTGTTGCAAAAAAAAATGTTTTATAATCACTCAAACAATTGAAAAAAGCAATCAGCGAAACTGATACAAAAACAAGTGTTTTAGGCACAAATTCTAGAGCAACTGCCTAAATGATACACCTAATTTATTGCATTCCGCTATTTTTTTAAAAAGCATAAATTATTTGAGCATCACGGCAAGGATCGATTTGGTTTAAATTGTTATAGTGTAGCAGTAGACGGTATTAAGGTGTTCTGACTACAAAATGTACACCAAGTACACTAAAAAAAGTCATATTTTCACAATGAAACAAAAGAAAATCAATAAAAATCCACTCAGCGAGATTATGTAACCGCGAACTAACTGACATCAAGGTTGAAATTGGTTTAAAAACTATGCAAATCAAGTTCAAAAACAGTACACGCTTCGAAAGTAGTCGCAACAAAGCCTGATTTTTATTCACCTTTTCAATATTTCAGCACTGAAAATTATTCAACGGTGAAACGCAAAAATGGAAATAGATTTTATTTCATTAATGATTGTAAGCTGCGTCAGAGTAAAAAAAATTCGGTCCATTGCATCAAACTTTGCTGGACAATACATTTTATATTTGAACAGTCAGAAGACTAAAGGAACCTGATTTTTCAGCTTAACTAAGCTGCAGCTTATTTACAAAATCTCGTCTAGTCAATCGTGGTTTACGTGTAATTTCGAAGCCATAAATCCATGATTGCTGATCAGATCTCATTACAACAGTAAGCTCACAAGTGAGACCTTGTTTCTCACTAAAGACATAATTACAGCTAAGGTTTTTGCATTATTGCGAATAGCAAGTTGTTATATCTAATTATGAGTGACAATCATTTAACAAAAGAAGTTGGTTAGGAATTATAATTTGAGATAGAAAAAACTATCCGTTGCTGACAGGCGAAGGGGGTGGGTCGTGGCCAACATGTACTTGGCGCACAACGTAAACCATAGAGGACGTTCTGTCAGACACGGGAGACGGTGGGAGGAAGCTGTTGAACTCCTGTGAGCCGCTAAGGGGAGTGCACGCAGGTGCCGGAGGAGGCGGCATCGGGTGACCATGGCTGTAACTCTGCTGTTGCGACGTTGAATGGCCCTGTGCAGATCGGTGATGAGAACCTCTAGTGTTTCCAGGCGTGTAAGTAACCAACTCGTCCATAATAAAGCGACGTCTTTTCACATACTTGCCCGCTGGCATTTGACTGGGCATAGTATTATGACTCCCAGCTGAAGGGTAAAAATCTGCGAATCGGGATCCATTAGGGAGCCCAGCAGCTCCTTGCGATTTGGGTAAAAACAAAGGTTCACTTTCTTCTCCCGATTGGAACCCTTTGCAGCTCCTGTGACTGTACTTCTGCGAATGATGACCGCTCGAATGTCGCTCCCGTTTCCATGAACTCCACGAGGGCTTCTTGATTTTGTTGGGGATCCCCGGACTAGGAGTGTGAACGTTCTGCCTCATTCGACAGTCGGGACACATTGTCTCATAATTCACATCCGAATTATAAATCGAAGGGTTTGGCGTTGGAGGCGGTGCGCCTGCGTTGTTCAGGGTTCCACAACTTGAGGAGAACACAGATGTTGTTCTTATCGAGTTCTGTGGCACGTGTGAATGATTATGGTACCGTTTGTGCTTTTTGTGAGACGAGCTCGTACTGTGAATGTGCGAGTACATGTCTGAACTGTTGGGAGACTTCTTACGAGTTCGTGTTTGGTTAACGGTTTGGTGCACATTAATACTCGTGTTTATGAACAAGTTATTCTGATTGCTGTTTAGATTCATTGCGCTTTTTGAGACATCGATATTGTTGCTCACTTTTGCTATTGAAACTCCATCTGAGTTCTCAGCATCGTCGTACGAGTTCTGGTTAGCTGTGAACCTAACAGTCTTGTTCGATTTTTTACTAGTCCTGTACTTATAGAGCACAATTGCAAATGCTACTACTGATGCAAATGCCACCACAAGTAGCAGACATCCTATCACTGCAACTAGAAGCGGATTCTCCAAAATGCTTGCCAAACTACTTATCGCTTCCGTTTTCTGTTTAAAAAGAAAGGCCGGGTCGCAAAGACACCAGCTAGGCCGAATTTCACAATAAGAAGCTGAATTTCGATAGCACACTTTTCTCGCATCAGCTTCAGAACGCGTAGTATCTTTGACTGTAGTTCCATTGCTGACCATGCAAGTCTGCTGATCGGAGCTGCATGAGTTGTTTGCAAATGGAGCACACAGGGTTATTTCCGGACACCTTTCTCTGTCATGGATACCCAGTTCCTCGCAACGCAGCGTCGCTTGCTCTGGTGGACACGAGAACTTATCTGCGATCTTGACGCAAGTCGAGCTTGAGAGAGACATGAGTACATATCCAAATGGACAAGCACATCGCTTTGAAATCGGATCACAAAAATGGGTACATTTCAGCTGGTCACAAAATTCTGCCGAACGCTTATCGTTTTCGCTAAGACTGATAGCAGCTTTCATTGACTGTCGACCCTTTTTGATAACTAAACTTTGTGCATCTGGATTTTTGGGAGGTGACAAGAAGCCAGTTGATTTCACGATGTATCGCGTCTGCACTTTCGAGGACTGCAAGGTTGCGACGGTGTTGTGATTCACTACTAAAGTTACAGTAGTAGCAAAAAGTTCCTTCGACTGTACACTTTCGCTCTCACACAAATCTTTCTCAAAAGGTTGACTTCCTGTCAATTTATAACTGAAAATAAGACGCATTCCATCCGTCCATCTGATAACTTTTTCCTCTTGTTCAACCGAAAGCATTCGTGGATTGTTTCTACCATTGAATTTTCGGGTTCTGCGAACATCGCCGAAAATATCAATCAATGCAATATAGGACACTCCAATAAAATATCCATTCAAATTAAACAGAGCGGCTATAGTATTTTGGCCGTTGACAATTTTCAATTCTTTGATTTCTAACACATCGTCAGAGACAACGGGTGAAAAAACAATCAGCATCCTCCACGAAGTCAGGCTGAACACATAGATTCTTTGCGATGAAAACCACACGACGACTCTCGATATCGGATCGACCTCAATGTCCTTGAAAATTTCCCCGTCTTCCTCATTGGCTTCCGCAAGTAAGCTTACATTTTTACCACGAGCATCGCCGGCCAGAATTCGTCTGGAAAACAAGTCCGAGGCTTCCCGGTTTATAATGTAAAAGTAAAGGTGAAGCAAAGGGTCGTAGGCGAAGCTCACTATCGACAACTCTGCTTCCAATTCAAAGCCACCAAAGGAGATCACTCCTAAGGATGCTACAGGGAAAGGTAATTTGTACATATGTTCAGCGTCGTATGTG